GGAGGGAGGGAGGGAGCGAAGCTGGTAGAGAGAATGAGACAGGAAGAGAGTGAGAAAGTGAGTGAGGAATGGGAAGAAGAGATGTATGGAAGTATGAGGGAAGGTATGTGAAGGGGGAGGGTGGGGAAGGGGCAAGGGGATTGAGGGCAAGAGTACTTGTGGAAAGGAGGGTCTTTCATCGTTGAATCCTTCAGTCGTCTGACATGAGCCTGCAGGTCGATGATGAACACGATTGACTTGTAAAGCCCGAGCAACAGTGAGCAGAGAGAGAGAGAGAGAGAGAGAGAGAGAGAGAGAGAGAGAGAGAGAGAGAGAGAGAGAGAGAGAGAGAGAGAGAGAGAGAGAGAGAGAGAGAGAGAGAGAGAGAGAGAGAGAGATGGCGGAGAAGGCAGCAGTGGTCTGCAAGGAAGTGTTGCAGGGGCTCGATGACGACGTGCTGGAGTACATCAGTGGTGTTGTGCTGGACGACGACCAGATCCTTCCCAAGGAGGAGCTGGTGGAGGTTGTTGCTCCCCTGCTAGTGAGCAGTGAGTTTGTGTCGGACGAAGCAGAGGCAGAGGCTGTGGCCACGAGGCTGTGGGACGCGCTTCACAATGCGGAGGGAGTGAACAAGGAGAAGAAGCCCGACGTCGTCCTGCTGAAGAACGCTGTGCTCATGGGGGGGAAGGAGCCTGAGGAGGAGAGCGTTGCGAAGCTCGTGGACGTGAAGGTGATCTGCTGCCTGTCTCATCTTGAGAGGATGACATGCATCTAGGTGGATCCGATGCTGAAGCGACGGGGCGGGAATGCCTTTGCCTGTGCCACCCAGGAGGAGGAGATCGACGTGCATAGCAAAGCCGCGATCGCCAAGGCTCGGTTGGATGCCAAGGCGGAGGCGAAGAGACAGGCTGCCAAGCAGGAGCATGAACGGCAGATGCTGGCGATGGAGGAGGAGCTGGAGCAAGCTCGGCGTTCGGTCGCCTTGTCGCGCATCGCAGGGGATGCAGCAGGAGAGATCTCAGTGGTGGAGTCCGAGTGCTTCGACCTGCCCAACCCTGGCGGAGGAGAGAACCTGCTTGAGGACGCAAACATCCGCCTGGTGTCTGGGCATCGCTACGGCCTCATCGGCCGCAACGGAAAGGGAAAGAGCACGCTCTTGCGGTGGATCGCGGCGAGGAGGGTGAAGGGATTCCCCTCGCTCATGAGCATGCACTACGTGGCGCAAGAAATCCCCCTGGCAGCGATCAACGAGGGCATCCACCCCGTCGACATGGTACTCAAGGTACGAGGAAAAGTCTGACGTTCCCAGCTGACCGGACGGGCTGCAGGCAGACATCGAGCGAGAGCTGCTGCTGGAGCGACAGAAGACGCTGGAACGAGACGCCATGTCGGATGGAGGCACGTCCCATGAGTCCGCCTTGAAGCTAGCGGATGTGGTGGAGCGACTGATGGCGATCGATGCGGACGGGGTGAGTGAGAGGGGAAGAGGAGGGCGGGGATTGACTTGCTCGCGCAGTCTGAGGGTCGAGCAAGAGCGATGCTGGTGAGCTTGGGATTCTCAGAAGAGCTCCTATCAAGGCCAATGAAGGTGCGAGGGAGAGGAGGAGGAGGAGGAGGAGGAGGAGGATGAACCGATGAAGGTGCGAGGGAGAGCAGGAGAAGGAGCAGGAGCAGGAGCAGGAGCAGGAGCAGGAGGAAGGGGGAAGGGGGAGCGGGAAATGATGAGGTTGTTGACGGTTTCTGATCAGGCACTGTCTGGAGGATGGAGAGTGCGCGTTGCTCTCGCTGCTGCTCTATTTGCAAAGCCCGATATCCTACTGCTGGATGAGGTTGGCGGAGAGGAGGAGAAAGAGGAGCAGGAAGCTGAAATTTTGATCTTGCAGCCGACGAACCATCTCTCGATTGATGGCGTGCTGTGGCTGCAGCGAACTCTTGCTACCTCGACGGTAAAACAAACATCTCCTCTTCCACCACCACCTCCACCTCCACCTCCACCTCTTCCTCTTCCTCCTCCACCACCTCCACCACCTCCTCCTTCCTACATCACCACCACCACCACCTGGACCACCACCACCTCCTCCTTCTCCTCCCTACACCACCACCACCTCATACTTCTGCTTGCCCCCAAACCATTACTGCTCGTCCTACCCCTTCAGCATGTCGTTGCTCTCTGAGTTCTCCGACTGGCCTGCAGGTGTGGAAGAGCAGGATCGTCGTCGTCGTCTCGCACGACCGCATGTTTCTAGATGCTGTCTGCACCGACATGCTGCACATCAGCGGCATAGCCCGACGTCTGACCCACCACAAGGGCAACTACAACGAGTATGAAGAACGAAGGAAAGAAATGCAGGCGACATACGCCAAGGTCGAAGACGAGCCTTCTCTTCTCTTCTCTTCTCTTCTCTTCTCTTCTCTTCTGCTCTTTTTGTTGCTCGTTAATTTGTTCCTCTCTATATCTTCTGAGAGTTTGTTCAATCTCTGCAGTCTGCTGAGCTTCGTGAGAAACGACGAGAGAAGTTGCTCGAGTGAGTTTGACTTGATGCTGTCAAGGCAGTTTTGACGAGGTTTGATCAGATACACGAGAAGGCAAGGCCGAGCCTACACTCTCTCTGGAACCATCGGTCGCTTTCCTCGCCTGTCCGCCTTCCTGATGATTGTTTGCAGCCGCGAAGATGATGCGAGTGAAGATGATCGACAAGCTCGACGCCGGCAAGTTTGAGAGGAAGAATGATGATACTGATGTTGATGAGGAGGAGACAGATGACTCGTATGCCGATCACGATGCTGCTGCTGCTGCTGCTGCTGCTGATGATGATGATGATGATGATGATGGGGAGGAGGAGGAGGAGGAGGAGGAGGAGGAGGAGGAGGAGGAGGAGGAGGAGGAGGATGTCTCGTATGATGATGATGATGATGATGATGATGATGATGATGAGGAGGAGGAGGAGGAGGAGGAGGAGGAGGAGGAGGATGTCTCGTATGATGAGGATGATGATAATGATGAGGAGGATGAGAGTGTTGAGGATAGAGGGATTGATAATGCTCTCAGAGGCGGAGAAGGAGGAGGATGAATTTGCTTTCCTCGAGGAGGATCAGGAGCTCGAGCTGTCCATCAAGGGAGGGGGCGTCCTCCCTCTCCCTATCGCAAGATTCTACAACGTCTCCTTCGGATATCCGGTCACTTCCTCCGTCTTCTCTCTCTCAAACCTTCTTCTGCCCTCCTTGCTTGCTGTTCCTCTTCCGCTACTACAATATTTCCCTTCCCTTCCTTCTCCTCCTCTATCTTCCCTATCCTCTCCTCTGCTCCCAAAGACCTTGCGCCTGCTTCTCATCGTTGCATCTCAGGACTGCAAGCCTCTCTTCCAGGGAGTCGAGATGTGCATCGACGCGAAGTCACGCGTTTGTCTCCTCGGAGAGGTCGGGACACACTTGTGGAGGCTTCCCTGCCTGCATTTCGCTACTTCCTCCTTCATCTCTCATCTCATCATCTGACTTGCTCGTGTCGACAGAACGGTGTCGGCAAGACGACGCTGGTGAAGATCTTGATGAACTTGCTGGAACCAACTTCAGGAGTTGTTGAGAGAGACCTCGGCGCTCGTATAGGTCAGAAACACTCCAATCTGCTGCGCAGGGTGCGAACTGATAAGTTCTTTCTTCCCATCTCCTCTCCACTCCACTCCTCTCCTCTCCTCACCTCTCCTCACCTCTCACTTTCACTTCCCACCTACAGCGCTTGTCAATCAGCATCATGCTGACCAGATTGATTTGAACTTGACTCCCCTTCACTGGATGCATTCTCAATTCCCCGGTGATGGTTCGTACCAGCACGAGCAAGAGCTCAGGAAGCAGCTTGCGCAGGTTTTCTACCCTTCTCCCTCCTCCCTTCTGCTCTCCCTCTCTCCTCCCTGCCCTCTGGTGTGCTGCATTCCTTGTCCTGCTTCGAACTTCTTGCTCTTTCCTCCTTCCTGCTTTCTTCTTCTCCTTCCTGTTCTTTTCTTCTCCTACTTTCTGTTCCACAAGTTGCGCTCTCCTTGCAGTTTCATTGGAATGTGCTTCATTTAATCACTCCCTCCCCGTCCTGGTCCTGCTCGTGGTCCTGCTCGTGGTCCTCCTGTTGACTTGGTCTAGTGTGGCGTCACGTCCGAACTGCAAACAACGAGAGCATCATGTCTCTCTGGTGGTCAGGTTGGGATCATCTCCATCCTAACCCCTTATCCTCACCCATCCTCCTCCTCCTCCTCCTCCTCCTCCTCCTTCTCCTCCTTCTCCTCTCTTCTTCTTCCTTCTCCTTTCTCCTCTCCGCGTCCTCGTCCTCGTCCTTGTCCTTGTCCCCGTCCCCATCTGCCTCTCTTGATCGAGCATGCAGCGTTCTCGTGTGGCGCTTGCGGCAGTCTCATATACCAAGGTACCCCAGGAGGGAGGAGGAAGCTTGCTAACGAGCTGTGTCAGCCGCATCTGCTGATCATGGACGAGCCGACCAACAACTTGGACATCGAGAGTGTCGATGCTCTCTCGGAAGCCGTGCTCAACTTCGACGGCGGTGTCGTCCTGGTCAGTCACGACCAAACTTTCGTTTCTGCTGTTGCGAAAGAGGTGAAGGCAGCGTTGCTCGAGAGGTTGCGTTGATGGTGCCCTCAGGTGTGGGTGCTGGGAGGAGGAGTGCTGAAGAAGGAGGAGAGCTTCGAGGCTTACCGCAAGAAGATCATGAAGCAGCTTAAGGAGTAGCCGACACCCTGGTCTTGTCGAGATGTCATGGCTGCGATTGTAACAGACTGTCGAACTCTGATATTCTTTCCTTCCATGATATCACCGCATCGAGTTGTGCTTCTAGTGAGAGGATGACTGTATTGCATGCCTCTAGCTCTTGATTCAATGCTAAAAGCCACAATGAGAAGGCAGGGCCAGAGCATCGCACAAACCTGAGACGTTCTGCTGAAGACTCGCTATCTCGTTGTCCTTCATCTTCAACCTGTTTTTGTTTCACTGCAACACAGCCATGTTGAAGATGTAGATATGTTGTACAGTGATCGTAGATGCAAGTTTTCTGCCTTCCTCATTGAATCTTCTTTACAACGATCCATCAGCTCCTGCTGCAAGCACAGAACTCTCTTCCGGAGCTCATCTACCAACAACTTTATCATTACGAAAGACAGATACAGCACTCGGGTAGCATAAAGAATGAACATGCTCTCATTCAACAATTTTCCTCGAAATTCGACAGTCTTCTTCATACATACACAAACGCTCTTCGCACATGTTTCTTTTTCCTTCAACAGAGATTATCCTTCTTCTGCATCAACAATGTTTCTTCTTGATAAACAATCTTTCTTCTTCATAGACAATCATTCTCCTTCATAAAGAATCATTCTTCTTCTTCTTCACCTTTCGCTTTCAGCGTCTTCTCGTGCATTCTGTTGCTCATGCGCAGCTCCTCCGCCATGTCGTCCGCCCTCCATTCCTTCCTGTCCATTTTTTTTAAGTTTGACATTCCCTACCCTACCCACTCTCCGATACCTACCACCCCTCTTTTCACCAACTCGCCCTGCCCCCCTCCCTCCTCCTGCACTCGTTCCCTCCCTCCCGTTGTCTCCTCCTCCCCCTCCTCCCTCCTCTTTTCGTCCTGCTTGCTCTACGTAGCTTCCTCCTCCTCGCTTCCACTTTCCCCCTCTTCCTTCTACTCCTGATCCTCGTTGTTCTTGTCATTGTTGTAATCATCACAGTCCGTATCATCTCCTGTTTCCTTCTAGAACTTTCCTTTCCTGTTCATCTGCTTCCATCCCCCCCCCCCCCCCCTTCCTCGTCGCCGACATCTTGTCGCCTCACATCCTCCTTCTCTCGCATGCTTCTTCGAGTACAGCCGACCATGACTTCTCTTCAAACCTCTTCCATGCTCACCTCTCCTGATACGCGCAGCAACACGTTCATTCAGCACTGCCATTGAAGTCCCTGCCATCGAGCTCGCTGCTGCTGCTCGTCTGTACCTGACATGGAGGAAGAATCGCGTTTTTCAGCATGTGATGTCTCACTGCATTGCAATGAGGCATCGTTCAGTATCCAAGACCTCTCGGGAATACATTCAGCAAGCGCTTTGAGTTTTGACCGCAATCTCCGTGCTAGTGTGTCGTCTTCCATCATGGATCTAATGATCCACGAGATGAGTTTTATAGATCACAGCCATGAGAGGGACCTGCAACTTCTGTTCGATGAGAACTTCAGGCTCTTGACCGACGACAAGTTTCTGGTGTATGACGAGTTTTCCGGAACAGCCAGTGAAGTCGCAGGACGGCATGTTGAACAGGTTGAGAAGTTTGTGGAGAAGATAACATCTCGCGTTGAACGGATAGTCCATCTCGTCCAGACCCAGGAGCATCTGCGATCCATCGCAAACTCGAGAAGAGAGAGGAGCAGGTTAGTCGCTGATCGACTGGACGCGGATGTAATTGCGCTGTTCCAAGGGTTTCATGACAAGATGGTATGGAACAGTCAGATGTCTACGATCCTCGATGAGATGGAGATATCACTGAAGACAACTGAGAACAACCTCCTGTTTGCTAGTCAACGAGCTGCTAGAGCCAGGTCGTGCTCGGACAGGCCTGAATCCTCACTTCTCACAAGTACCTTTGACGTCTCTCTCGACGGATCGCAGGCCGTTAGAACGCTCGTTGACATGTCAGTGGATGCGCAGAAAATGCTGTTGAGGATGAAGATGTGCAAGGACGAGTCTCGCATCCTCAGACGACATGTCTCACACCTGCAAACACGATTGCTCTCCTTTCTTTCGCAGCAAGATAGTCTCAGTCAGAGAGCCTGCCGTCAGTTTGCCAGGCATCTCTCCCGAAGACGAATGAGGCGTTGTCTTGACAGATGGTGCGGCTTCTCGCAATGGCAGAAAATCTTTGACAAGTACACGAGGAAAGTTTGTCTAACTGCGTCTGTTGTCTTGTTGTCTTCGTCCTTCAACTGCTGGCGAAGAGACAGTCATCAGAGTCAAGCTTGCAAGCATATCGCTTCTTCTGTTCGACTGAGACATGTCAAGATTGTCAAAAAGAACATCTTCGAGCGATGGTCTTATGAATGTCTGTGGCGGAACGAACTGGTGCAAGTGCATAGAAACAGGCTGCAAAATCTAGGTAATCACATGTTGTACAAGCTTTCTTACAAGGAGGAGAACATGAACTGTGTTTGTTCAACACTCAGAACTGTCCTACACAGATGGTTCACTTGCGCTCTTGAGATGAGGAGGAGGAACGACAAGTTTGATCGAACACGTCGGCGTGCGAGGATCAAGTTGAAGTCAAGATGTTTCGGTAGGTGGCTTGATCATCATCGTGTTCGACGATGGCGCAGTCAGTTGTTGGACGATTTTCATGCTCGTCGGCTGGTGAAACTGCTGCTGGACTTCTTGACGAGGTGGTGCGATGTTGTCAAGCAAGTTCGACGATGGAGACATCTGTCAAAGGACTTCTTGTCTTGCTCTAGACTTGGTCTTCTTCGAAAGAATTTCGTGCAATGGCGCTGTTTTCACCACGGCAAGTGTCAACGGAAGCAGATCAGAGAGATCATGAGGGTGGTACAGGAAGGAGGAATGATAAGCGTGTTGTCGACATGCAGGGAGCTCTTGGGTCAGCGAGCAGCACAACACATTGGAGATAACGATGAGCTGCAGTTTCATGACAAGAGATGTTTCAACGATGCAAGAGCAATCATCATCAGACATCAGCAGAGGTTGCTTCCACCTGCTGGTCAGAGGCTCCCGGGGTTTTCGGTGGTTTTGCTTGCTTTCCATCAGTTCGAAGTTGCGATACATCTGACGAGAATGAAACGGAGGGAGATGAATTGCAAAGAGGCCATGATGTCTCGCAAGCGAGCGAGGCAAGTGATGCATGCTTGGAGAGGTTTGATCAGTGTGAAGGTGAGGAGGCGAGATGTCGAGAGAGTGTCAACGAGACAGGCGACAGTTGTGTTGATAAGAAGGGAACGTCAGATGTTGTCAAGCCTCCTCCACCAATGGAGTTACCTCACTCTGCGTCGCAGAAGCAATCATCTCATCTCTCAGCATTTCCATACCCGCAAACAGTCTCATTGTATCAGAAGGTCCATGTCAACGTGGAAGATGGCATGTCTTGGGTCGAGCTTGCTCTGTCTTTCTGCGACAGATCAGATGCTGGTGAAGGTGCAGCGAAGAAACCAGGAGACCATGATCGAAACTTACTTGTGTTGGTGGAAATTCTCCCTTCGACATTCTTCCATCGTTGGCAGACTGTTGGCAAGACATGGGTGCAATGAAAAAAAGCATCTGATCCTCGACTGTCTTGCGTCATGGAGGAAGTCAACAACGGTAAAGAGCAAACTTTCCTTCATCCTGCATCGCAACGACAGAAACATCATGTCTACAAGTTTTCATGGCCTCCGCCAGATCTTGAGCATGCGACGAGGGAGGGCGAGACAGAAAATTTCCCTCCTCGCCCTCTTCTTCTCCTCCTTGAAACTCGCCGTCCTCCTGCTACGGCGCAGATCTGAAGCGGAGGCCAAGATTCGCTCGTTGCTCTCCTCGTCCTTTTCCTCCTCCTCCATCTCCCGCTGGAGGTCTCAAGTCTCGCTCCTGAGGAAGGGGAGGAGGCTTCTGTTGCGCGGCGATCTCCTCCTCCTCTCCTCCTCCTTCCGCCGCCTCGCGCGCAGCGTCTTCATCAGCAGGAAGTCGCTGCTGTTCATGACAGAGTGGGAGGGAGCGCATGGGAGCTGGTCGGCGGCGACTGAGATGGAGTGGACGAGAGAATGGATAGAAGAGAACTGGAACATGTTGCGCAGATGTCTTGCCCTGTCGTGCGAAGCCAAGAGGATGTACAGGAAGCAGATGAGAAGCTTTCAGATTGTATGCAACAAGTGAGAAGACGTTTTTGACGCTCCTTGCCTTGTTTGCTATTCCTGCTCCCCTCGCAAGCCTCCTCTCACTTTGTTCTTCTCATCTTGCTCATTCTCTTTTTTCTCCATCTCTCTTGTCTTCGTCTGCTGCTCCTCCTCGTCCTCCTCCTCGTCGTCATTCCATCTTTCTTCCGTCTTCAGCTCCACCTAATCTCTCGAATTGTTTGTGCGCGTTCGGAGTGTTACAAGGAACGAGATGCCTGCGAATCATGTCAAACTCACACTGAAAACAACAAAGAGATCTTCACAGCGATCGCTTGCGATCTTCGAGTCCTCCTCCTCCTCTTAATCCACCGCCACCGCCACCATCTCCTCCTCCTCCCTCGCGCATCCGTGGGGTCGGCATGAGTAGCTGCTCGCCCACACCGTTGCTGTCAAGGGGCAGACGGACTGCTGCCAGTCAGGAGGATCGAGCTACAGCAACCTCACCTGTGAAGGGCTGCGACCTGACTAACGCTTCGTCCTGTTGTCGAGGTAGGTCAGGAGCCGAAGTAAAAAGGATGAGGAGGAGGAGGAGGAGGAGGAGGAGGAGAGACAGCAGGAGGCAAGAGGCAGGAGGCAGGATCACCTTTTCAAAGCTGTACTTGCTCGGTCCAGACTCCATGAAGGCGCTAGTGGTCGCTTCCTCGAGCCTTACTGGAGGTCAGGACGTGGAGGGAGCACGCAGAGCACCTGGAGGATGCGAGAGGAGAGGAGAAGAGCGAGCTCGTGGCTGAGAGCTTTCCGTCCCGCAGAAACTCCATGGGGTCTTCCTCGCGCACTCCTGAGCTCCATAGGAAGCTTCTCGTGTCTTCATCTACCCTGTCCCTCTCCTCCCCTCTCCCCTCCTCCTCCTCCTCCCACAGAGCCTCCTCCTCCTCCTTTAGAACCTCCTCCTTTAGAACCTCCTCCTCGTCGCTATCGCTCAGCCTCGGTCCACCAGCTCTGAAGATATCTGCTAGCATCACGTTCCCGCTCGGTCTCGACTGCTCCGTAGCTTCCTTGACGATACCTCGGATCGCTATCCTCCTCTCCAGCTCCTCCTCCTCCTCAGCCAGTCGTCTCCCTCCTGACAGCAGCGCACTGTCCTGCTCCATGGCGTCCACCTCCCGCCTGATGGCATTGAGCCGCTCCTGCAGCTCGTCATCCGACGTGCTGCTGCTCTCTGACCTCAGCATCATCCGCTCTCTCTCCTCCTCCTCCCTCTCCCTCTCATCCTCCCTCTCCCTCTCATCCTCCCTCTCCCTCTCCCTCTCCCTCTCCCTCTCCCTCTCCCTCTCCCTCTCCCTCTCCCTCTCCCTCTCCCTCTCCCTCTCCCTCTGCTTTTCCCTTTCCTTCTCCATCGCCATCTCCCTCTCCCACTCAATCATCACGTCCCTCTCCCTCCTCTCTTCGCCCACATGAGACCGTTGCCTGTCCGATCCCGCCGTCTCTCGTTGGAGAGAATACTCGACCTCCCCCTCGTACTCCACTCCTCCTCCTCCTCCTCCTCCTCCTCCTCCTCCTCCTCCTCCTCTTTCAGCGTCGCTCCTCCTGGTCCCCCCAAGGGAATTTCTGCCTCCAGCTGCCTTCATCGTTGCCGAACGCTGCTGCTGCCCCACTGATTTCGGCGGGGAGGAGGTAGAGGAAGGAGGGGAGAAGGGAGGAAAAGCTCTGTTCCGCCGAGTCATCTCCTCCCATAGGGGGAACGACGAAACCATATCATTCGAAGAAACTCCTGCTCCTGCTCCTGCTCCAGCTACTGCCGCTGCTCCTGCTCCTGCTCCAGCTACTGCCGCTCCTGCTCCTGCTCCTGCTCCTGCTCCTGCTCCTGCTCCTGCTCCTGCTCCTGCTGCTCCTGCTGCTCCTGCTGCTCCTGCTGCTCTTGCTCCTTCTGAAACAGCAGCTGCTTCTCCTCCTCTGGAAGACAGCATAGTGGACAGGGTCTCTGCTCTCTGAGCGCGGCGTCAGCTGGGCACATGTGGAGGAGAACGCACGTGAGTAAGATGGAACATGTTGCGCTCGGCATCCTGGACCAGCTTCGAGAGCTGCAGGGGGAGAAAGTCAGCTGCAATGCAGCGGGAGGAGCGAGAGAGGAGGAGGGAGAGGAGAGAGGAGGGAGAGGAGGAGGGAGAGGAGGAGGAGAGGAGAGGGAGAGGAGGAGGGAGAGGAGCAGCGGGAGAGGCGCAACGAAGCAACAAGTCCAGATCAGGAAGGGAAGAGGAGGCTGCAACAAGATAGGAGGATTCGACTCTTGCGCCGTACCAGGGGGCTGGCAGATGTGATGGAGTTCAATCTCGACATGTCGTGATGCTGTTGGAACGACAATCATCCCTGAGAACTTGAACATTGTCTCTCACGTTGCTCAGCTGGCTGCCCTGCTGGGCCCTCCAATGCTGCATCTCTATCATCTTCTCCTGGGCCTGTGAGCCCGTCAGCATGCGAAGAACGCTCATCCCCCCCACCTCCCGCCGCCTCCTCCTCCTCCTTTCCCACCCCCCTCCCTCCCGCCGCCGCCTCCTCCTCCTCCTCCTTTCCCTCCTCCTTCTCCTTCTCCTTCTCCTTCTCCTTCTCCTCCTCCTCCTCGCCTGTCGTAGGAAGTGCATCTTCCTGTCAAACTGCTCCTCGAGCTCCGCCACCTTGAGCAGCCGATCACTTGCTACTTGTTACACTCCTCCACAACTCACCACGTTCTTCAAACTCTCCTGACTAGTTGCGGTTTGTGCCTGCAACCATTGGGAACAAACTGTGTTACAACTCCCCTGGGAAACCGCTCTAGTCTCACCGCATACTGCAAAGACATGTTCATCTTCACGTCCTGGCTGAACGTGCTAGCCGTCTTGTCGTGCGAGAGACGATTGTCGGCGATGTTGGACGGCGGGGTCAAGTCAACTTGATAGTGGATGTCAGAGAAAGGAGGCAAACACCACGAGACTGACAGCCGTTCCCTTGGAGCGAAGATGGATGAATCACCGATGCTGTCCTCATAACTTCCAAGTTTGGTCGGAGATCAAGATTCTGAGGAGAATTGTTTGAAAAACAACCCTTGAGCAACATCATTCAAACCTGTTCTCTCCCTTCAGCTCCCACATGCGATGCAGTGCCAGGAAATGGAGTTATCAACTTTTCTTGCAGCCCCTGCGCATCATTCACAGACAGAATTTCCTTCGTATGAGAAAGAGAGTGTTCACATAGCGATCGCTCTGTCGCTCTTGCTCGGAGGGAGTGAAGATTTCTTGCCGTGACTTGATAAGGTCTTGAGCTGACCGCAACAGAGTGCTCGCTCTCTCTTGCCTCTGCATCTTGAAGTGAGAGGAGCAGGAACAGCAAGAGCAGGAGCAGGAGCAGGAGCAGGAGCAGGAGCAGGAGCAGGAGCAGGAGCAGGAGCAGGAGCAGGGGAGATGATGTGTACCTCCTGCAGCCTCTCCTGCTCTTGTCTCAGCCTCTGCTCCCTGCCGACAGGTCATGAAGATCAAACAGCAAAGAGGAGCATACAGGTTGTACAAGTTCTGCTCGTCCTGATGAGGATCGGACACCATCTGCAAGGAGTCGTCCATCATCTCCTCTTCTTCAGACCGCAAGAAGGCCAGCCGGTTCCGCAGCTTCCCGATCTCCATCCTTTGCTTCTTAATCGTGCTCATGAGGTGGAGACTGTCGCTGAGCTCGCTGTCTGTCTGGATCCGCATGAAGAAGGCATCATCCTTCAGCCGATACCCCTCCTCCTTCTTCATCCTCTTGCTCTTCACCAGCGAGGACGCCAGCGAGGGCGCCGCCTTGTGAAGGACCCGTCCGATCCCTTGCTCCTCGGGCGGCTCGGACATGCAGACGATCTTGTTGATATGCTGCATGGAGATGTCTTCCATGGCCTTGGAACGAGCCGATGCTGAGAGCATTGCTGCAACTGCGTCCTCTTCCCTTCTCTCGCCCCTACAGACGCCCCCCGAGCGCCTTCCGACCATACTGCGAGCGCCGTTGTGACTGGGCTAGTCAAATGCAGAGTCAAATGTCGAATGTAGTGAAGGGGGAGGTGGGGGGAATGGATGCCAGATGGAGAAACGTTGGGGTGAGGGAGGAGGGTGGAAGAGAAGGAGGGAGGAAGAGGTGAGGAACAAGTGCAGGGAAGTGCTCGGAGATCGAAGGAAGACGCAGAGGAGATTTGAGGGATCCGACCATTGTTATGAATGGCATTTCAAAGAACTCGTGACTTCCAAAGTCATGAAGTAACGAGTTCGGTTTGAGTCTTCCAGGGAATGCGAAGAGAAGAGGCGAGATGTAGCTGGTTCAACATCATCTCGATCAAGACTCGCTGAGAACTCACTCACATCAACCAGCTTTCTCTCGCTCTCCGTATGCAGGAATACAGAGGGAAAGCAAACTGCTTGATTCCTAGCCTAAGACAGTAAATATGGGTGAATGATGTAGGTTTGAGAATATTGTCAATAAACATCTGCTTGTATTTTATTTCTCAATTTTCAGCAATGCCGTCTGTTCTATCGGGGGAATTTATTTCATGGGGGTCTTCCACCAAGGTGGCAAGATGTCAATGATGATTTTCAGTAAGAAGACCATTGCGACAGCACCAAGAACTGTCGTTCCAATAAAATGCATGACTGAGAAATTTGCCCTGTCAGTACATTCAAGTCAGCTCATATATCAAAACTCACTTGTTACAAGCAATCAAATACACAGCTTCGGACTAAGGACAATCTCTGAGCATGTGACAGCAAGAATAGACCAACCATGATCTCATATCCTAATCTAGTTCAAGAAGACACACGGACGGAATAGGCAGCAAATTACTTCCGATGAAAAACAGCAAGATAATGGAACAGGTTCAGACATCGCACAATTCATTTTTCGAAACAATATCTAATCATCACGATGAAAACATCTGTAGCTTTACGAGGGGAGGCAATGCATGAATTCTTACCATTCTGAGATGATTCTCTCTCTCTCATCCATCTCCTCGTCCTCCTCGTCCTCCTCCTCGTCCCTCCTTCCTGTCTCCCTCCGCCGCATCTCCGTATCTGAGCGCATCTTGAGTTGACCACCCCTCAGCCTATTGACCCTCAACAACCGCCGAAAAATTTGAGTACCCGTACTTTAAACCCTCTTTGCGGGGAATTGAAAGGGGGTACGGTGATATACCCACCCTTCTAATCTGAGAATACGTAACGGCTGTCATTTCCGCCAACTGAAGGCCGTAACGTTCAAGTTCGGGGTCAGTAGGTGACAGAGATATCGCAGAGGATACTAGAGGTTTACCGACCCGACGGCCGTTTGGCTCGGGTAGGGTCTACCAACAAGAATGGCAGGAAGGCGATGAAGAGTGTAGAGGAACAGCGATGGGCGGTCGAACCAAGCAAAGAGGTCGGGTGGTGGATCACAATGATAGGAGCACATGATGGCTTGTTGATGCGTTAGAGTTACACTTCCTCTCCCTGGTATCTGAGAGCCGCAGCCTTGCTGGAGATCCGAATGAAGGCTAACGAGCACATCTACATGGCAGCTCTCGGGCGCTGCAGACTGGTCGTGACAAAGGTGTCACTATCCCCCCATGATGAATTGATGTCTCCACATGCATGATGAGAAGATTTATTCACTCTGATGTCTTCATTAAACAGAAAGCATTTCTGCGATCTGAGCTTTGGATTTCTGCGTTGCTTCATGCAGTTCTTGTATATTTTCGCAATCGGCTGACTCCAACTGACTGGAACATGTACTCATATCGCCTGTGTGTGGATGAAAGTCTCACCACCCTTGGTAGCGCTTCGATGCGATCGAGCTTGGCGCTGGAAGTCAGCTTCGTCTTGTCTCTCATGGTTTTGCTGAAGCTTTACACGGGTAGATATCGACATACGGGGCATACTTCTAACGTGCCGCACAGGATTTGTTTATTTCGTGTCTGTCGAGAAATCTCTTGTGAAGGCGACTAGCCGACTGCAAGTGCTGGCAAACGAGGCGTCGCATGTGCTGAGCGACGCGATCGAGGGGTGATATTTGCTCAGATGCTTCAGTGAGGTTGAACGCCTTGGATCGCAGGTGGCGTTACTTCCGCCATAGCGTCGCCTTGTACGCTTTCACCGTGGCTGCTGCACAATCAAACGAGGCGACGAGAGCTGGGCCGCCGAGAGATCACTCGCGCGTGACGCCAGCGGAAGCCAACGACCTCGCCAAGCTCCTCTCGCAACGAGAAGTCTTGAGCGACAGGGAGCTTGAGGAGCTTCAGGTCAGGAGACTCGATGCTCAAGCTGCTGATGCCTCTGACTTCTGCTCATCAGAACCTCTCCAGCATCGCTGCTGTCCCCGTCATCAAAGCTTGGTGTACTCAACATTACATGGCGCTGCTGCCGGACGCTATGTCGACCCCTCTTCTTCAGAGAGGGACAGAGAACTTGTGGAGCGCGCTGGATGATTTTGAGTTGAACAAGTCTTGCCATGGCTTCAAAGACATCATCAGCTGCTCTCGGATGGTCACAACGATCGGCTTTCTGCTCCTTACATACACTTTTATGTTTGTAAGCAATCACGGGAGTTACATCTCTATCGGGCTTCTTCCTTTGCTGATCCTCCTGCTCCTCTTCATCGACGAGATGGCAAACATGTCGTTCGAAGCTCCTGCACTGCTTGTGAATGACTCGAGTCGACTCGTTTCCCTCATCGATGATACGTTGGAGAAACACTCGCAGCTGTTGCAAAGTCAGAGAAAGGTCATCGAAAGGAAGCGTATGCTTGAGAATACTCAGACTGGTGCAATGCAATGAAGCTTCCTCTGTTTTCTCTATTTGATGAAGCATCTCAGATGAATACAAGCGAGGTTTCAAGATTCTCAAGCAAGAGCTTTGTGACAAGGGAAAGCAGCCAAGCGAGGGGTTTGAAAGGTGTTTGATTGTAGATGTTGCGGGTTGACACGAACTGACCTGATGAAAGAATCGACGTGGATCGAGATCGCCTCATCTCTGTTGAAGACCTGCTGGCAGCCGTGCAGATCCTCCAGCTCCCTGTGTCCGACGACGTCGTGAAGCTGATCTTCAACAACATGAACCCCAGCAGTGAGCTCCTTGCTTCCTCGCGCTCGATGGCTTATTCCCCACAGGTGAAGACAAGGTGGGATTGGAAGCCTGGCAGACGTTCTTCAGTGGAGCCTCGGCTGGCTTGCAAGAGACGGAGGAGGACGGGAGAGCTTCGCCTGATCCTCGGGCGATGCAACCCAGGACAGGACTGAAGGAAACTGCCAAGCTGTATGAGGCCCCCAAGACAGACGATGCTTTGAACCCGGAGGCAGGCAAGGTGAGAAACAGAAGCAGCGTGCTTCCCAAGACTTCGTTGATGTACGAGGCCAACCGAGCTAAGCTCTCGCTGTCGGATCTGCTTCACAATGATCGACCTGGGGCTGCATTAAAGTGAAACCACCGTCATATATGTGTGCCGTGACTGGTGTATGTAAGAAGCAAGGGGCCCATCATATTGACATGTATGTGTGGTTGCAACAAGTGTACGTCAGAAGTCGCATAGCGTTGTTGTTGACTCTGACATAAGCTGATAACGTCTCTCTTCTCTTTCCCAACCTCTTGATCCTGCCCGGGCCCGCCCCGCCGTTGACCGTTTTTCGGTCCGTTGCTAACATCACCATGGCTAGCAGCAGGCGAAGGGGAGGAGGGAGAGAGGAGGAGGAGGCGGTGCGGTGAGAGGGAGAACGTCATGTACCACAAGCTGAACAAGAATGTGGTGGAAGCGAGACCTGGTTTCCTCTCCCGCCTCCCTCCCTCCGTCAGGCTCTCCTCCGAGTCGAACTCTTGTGCGGCAGCTCGTTCCTCCTTGCGACTCTCTGCTGACGCCTTCCCTGTAGACGCGTTGAGATCGCCCCGACTTCACGCAGGAGACCTCAGTGAGCTCAAGCTCCTCAGCCTCGTCGCTCTGACGCGCTGCAGACCCGGAGTTCCACAAATCGCATGCCTTTCTGCGAGTACTCCGACGTCCTTGTACCTCCTTGCCATTCATTCAGCTTACTCTCAGGTGGAGGCGCTGCTGATAGGAGATATCGAGCTCGAAGATTTCGTTTTGCTTGTAGAAAAGTGAGTAGCAGGAGCAGCAGCAGGAGCAGCAGCAGGAGCAGCAGCAGCAGCAGCAGCAGCAGCAGGAACAGGAGCAGCAGCAGGAGCAGCAGCAGGAGCAGCAGCAGGAGCAGCAGCAGGAGCAGGAGCAGGAGCAAGGACAGGGGCAGGGGCAGGGGCAGGACTTGTTTCATTTGATGGGAGGAGCTCAGGTCGATCGGCATGGAGCGATGGGCCCTGTGGAGTGAGATCTTTGCTCGGCTGAGGATGAGCAAGGCGAGGCAGAGGCGGCAGGCGAGCACGTCGGAGCCTCTCCCCTGCTCCACTCACTTCCTGTGACCTGCAGCCCTCAAGCCGAAAACTTCAGGCGAGCCCGCGCGACAAGGGCTGGGAGGGGGAGGAAGGAGGAGAGAGCGTGGAGGGATACGCAAAGAGGATGAAATCTCAAGGCTGCCAAACAGACTTGGACCAGGCCCTGTCATCCCCCGTAGGACGAGCCGTCGCTCACGGGCAGTCAACACTTCTTCCTCAGGCGACTCGACTCGCTCCCGAGCGACAACCTTGCCTGCAACTCCCTACCGAGAGAGCCCTAAACCCCAAGCCCCCCTCACAGCCCTCCAGCGCGAGGAAGAAGCCTACCCCCCGCTCCTCTCTTGCTGCGTCAGCTTCTCCTCGCCGTGAGGTCAGAGCTGCGGGGCATGCGGCGATGCGAGGAGGAGCGAAGGTAGCAGACGAGGACGAGAAGCTCGTGGCGATACTGAAGCATCTCGCAGACCCAACCCGACGACCATGTGCGACCGTCTGAGAGCTCGAGCAACGAGCATGCCCGGGAGCCTGAGGCCCCGAGCGAGAAGATGGCGTCACCCGTGAGTCGAGTCGTACTGGAGCTGGCAAGACATGCCGACAAGCCCGTCGCCTCCAAGCGTGAGAACGAGGTCGCTCGAGCCCCCGAACCTGACCCGATGCAGAGGATCACGACAAGAAGGTGCAGATCTTGTACCTCGTCAACCAGGTGGCGATCGTCTCACGTGAGATGGTCTTATGTCTTGGCAGACCATCGGCATGCAGCGACACGCCATGTCGCTCAAGATCGCCGCCAAGCTTCCCGCCATCATCGGGGCTCACGCGGCGCATCTAGCGTGGGTGGATGCCAAGACCAACGAGTTCCTCGAGGTAGTCGGAGAGTCCCGGGCCCTTCCTGACGTTCCGCCGCAAGTTCCCCGACGGCGACGGCGGGCGCGTCAAGTTCGTTGACGTCAGAGAGGGTGGGATAGCGGCTGAGGCGCTGAGGAAGAAGAGCTTGGTCCAGGTGGGGCTCAGCTGGGCGAGGCTTACGGCTGATCCTGTGAGTGAAGGTCAAGGACGAGGGGACCATCGACGGCTCGTTGGGCCCGTTCGACCTGGAGGTGGGAGGGTCTGAGCACTCGCGCTCTGAAGTCCTCTGTGTCCCCATCCTTGACAACTCCACGACTCCATGCGCGGTCAGTCCCTGACAACCTTGATGAACTTGTTGTTGTCGTTGATGTTGTAGAAGTTGATCTTGATGAACTTGTTGTTGTCGTTGATGTTGCAGAAGTTGATCTTGATGAACTTGTTGTTGTCGTTGATGTTGCAGAAGTTGATTTTGATGACATTGTTGTTGTCGTTGATGTTGTAGAAGTTGATTTTGATGAACTTGTTGTTGTCGTTGATATTGTAGAAGTTGATTTTGATGACATTGTTGTTGATGTCGATGTCGTCGACGTTGACGCGGTTGTCCAGCTGCTGACGATCGGGAGCAACGCGGAGAGGTTCTCCGAGTCAGACGTGGAGACGACCGAGTGGCTGGCGGTGCTGCTGGGGAACGTAATGCATCACAACGAGCAGCTGTACGTCAAGCAGGATCAACTGGCGCTCGTCCTCCGCATCGCTTCTCACGCTGTCACTCTCTTCCAACAAGGATGTGTGGTAGGAGCAGCGGAGGGCCTCCCAGCGTCCGTGACTTCCCTTGCTGCCCAGGTGGAGGACCCGAGGTTCTGGATGTCTGCCTTCGATGCTCAGATCGCGCAGGCACATGGCGCGAGCTGCTCGCCCACGCCCTGACGCTGCATGGCAGATCGCCCTGGTGCACAGGGAAGAGGAGGAAGTGGAGCCGCTGCTGTACTGCATCTCGTCCGATGCTTCCAAGGACGAGGTCTCTATGATCACCTTCCCCTGCACGGGAAGACATGGTTGGATGCTGGGGAAGCGAGACGGGGAGCCCTGGGTGTGCGAGCACGCCGAGGAGGTGAGGGGGCTGGATCGCAGGATCGACCTGGGGGGCTCGGAGTGGGTAGGGAAGACGTCGCTGATGCTGGTGCCGGTAATGGAGCGCAAGGAACAAGATCCGCAGGTGATGGCGATCGTGATGGCCGCTAGCACGAAGACGGTGATGCACGAGACGCACGCGATGCTGATGAAGGCCATGGCGATGGCGGTCAGAGATCAGATCCGCGAGCTCCTCGACGGCTGGAAGAGAGACGAGAAGAAGATCTTCAAGCAATCCTTCGTGCGAAGCCGTGAATTTGAGGTCGTAGCCTCTTGTTCCGCTTCCTCCCTCGCTCCCTCTCGCTCCTGCCTGACTGCCTCTCACCATCTTTTAGGACTCGGCTTCGCCCATGTCGCAGCTGGAGGAGGAGATGAGCGAGCAGTCACTTCATCTCGATCTGACTAGCCTCGCCGACTTCTCGCCGAGGATCGAGGAGAGCTCGAGCCCGCGAGAGGCGATGCCGCAGGACAACATCTATGCGGTGAGAAGAGGCGAAGGGGGGTGAGAGGGAGAGATAATGCGCTTGCAGTACTCCAAAGCTGGGATCGCGAAGATGCTCGACATGGAGGAGACGGCAAAGAGCTCAAGACGAGGCTGGTAGAGGAGCTGAGTAGGAGAGAGAGGAGACAAGTGGCGAGGAAGATGGTCAACTTAGGAGAACCTTGATCAGTTGCTCATCCAAATCCTTTGTCTTGTAAGATACAAATACAGCAAGTAGCTTCATAGAGCTCTTGTCCCTTGAGATGCTCATGCTGCCAACATCAGCAACTTGTACATGCGCTCGTCCAGCTCGGCCTGCGAATTGATCCACTGCAAAGCGCTACGAGACGATGAGCGAGACAACAACAGACACACTCTCCTCACCTCTCCCTTCCTCTGCCTCCTCCTCCTCCCTCGAGCTGCTCTACAGTCTTGACGCTCATCTCCAGCTCCTTCTCCAGGGCCTTCACCTGCTCCAATTCACCCTCTCGTCTCCTCCTCTACGCTTACCGCTCCACCCAAGTCCTCCTCCAAGCGAGCAAGCGGCACCCGAGACCATGTCACACTGACCTCCTGGCGGTCAAATCAGCTGTGGTGGTGGTGGTGATGATGTTAGGGAGGCGGAGGAGGAGGAGGAGGAGGAAGAGGAGGAGGAGAAGGAGGAGAAGGAGGAGGAGGAGGAGGAGGAGGAGGATTTAGGACCTGAGGGAGAAGCTCGCGGAGAGAGCTGAGGGCGACATGCAGCGATGTCTCATCCATGGCATGCAGGCGCGCGCGCGTCCAACCACACGTCTCCTCCTCCACTTCGAGGCCCAACCAGCCGCTCGACAGGTTGGCAGTATGGAAGGCTTGAGAGACATAGAGGGAGGGAGAGGGAGAGGGAGAGGGAGAGGGAGAGGGCAGGGGGATCAAGAGGAGGAGTGATGTGACGAGCGAAGAGATGGTGTGGGAGGGCTGCAGCGAGAGTGCGAGAGCGACTACGAGGATGTCGGCGGAGATCGTCAAGTCCTGCCTGTTGAGTGACGACAAGGCAGCAGCTCAACGTCGGTCAACTCACCCGGGGGAAAGGAAGCGAGTCATTGCCGGCGACTTGACCTGCTCCGACGAGCCGGTCCCCCTTGACTGCGACCTGAGCGATGACGTGCGCATGTCGAGCTGAGAAGACACTGCAAGACGCTGCGGGAGTTTGAGAGACGAGCAAGAGATGAAGATGATCAGACCGTCTGCCTCTATCTCAGACTGAAACGTCCAGAGCAGGAGACAGTCGACAAGAAGACTGTCCGTCAAGTGTTGCGGTAGGGGCGAGGTACAAGAAAGTTCCCCGACCTCTCCTGGTTGAAGTTTCTGCAGAAGAATGAGCAAGGGAGGGCAGGACCAAGATAAAACGAAGCGAGGACAGGAGTAGAGTAGAGTAGAGTAGAGTAGAGTAGAGTAGAGTAGAGTAGAGTAGAGTAGAGTAGAGTAGAGTAGAGAAGAGGAGAGGAGAGGAGAGGAGAGGAGAGGAGAGGAGAGGAGAGGAGAGGAGAGGAGAGGAGAGGAGAGGGGAGCGGGGGAAGAGAGTGCGAGGCATTGGCTCACTTGCACTCTTGTGCTTCGACTTGAAATCCCCTCAACTCCTGACAAACTCAACATGGCGAAAGCGATGGGACAAGGAAACTAGCAGCTGACGTCAGCTCCCTCTCCTCGTATTTCTAGCACCTTGCAGATGCTTCCTCCCCTCCCCTTCCCCTCCTCTTCTTCCCCCACCACCTCCGTCTCCACTTCCACTCCTCCTCCCTCCTTTCCCCGTGAACGAGACTCACTGGGTTCAAAAACTTCACCACCAGCGTCAGACGGTCCCGCTGCGTCACCTTCCTGACCTCCACCACCCTCGGCAGGAGCGCATGCGAGCACGGCACTCGCCTTCCCTCCTCCTCCTCCCTCCTCTCAATTGTTGCAGCCCCTGCTCCTGCCTCTACCAGCCCCTCACAAAAGGAGCTCAATGCGCTGCACGGGCGACACGAACGGTGAGGAGGGGGGGGGTGAAGCAGCTGAGGTTGTGAATGAGCTCGTTCAGCGACAAGGGCAGCAGCGTGCTGTAGCAGGAGCTCCTGCCAAGAGCCGTCAAGGGAGGAGCGAGCAGGACAGAACCTTACCTTCCTCCTCTTCTGCTCGTTCAGCCTCAACAAGTCTTCAGTACAGTTCCTCTGCTTCGCCCTCAGACAAGTTGAAACTTTCTCCAGCCCGTCAAGCTCGCTCCTAGGCTTGTGATCTTCCCTTGACCGACCGACGGCATCATCTTGGCCCGACCACTTCACTCTCGCCGTCTCCTCCATCTCCTCTTCCATCCCTTCCCCTTCCGACATTTGCAACCCAAGGTAAACATCCTCCACCTGACTTCTCGCTCTTACCCGAACCATCCCGTCAACTCCCTCGGCTACTCGCTCCACCCTCAACTCGTGTATCACCACCAGCGACTTGTCCTCATCCTCCACCACACACAGCAGACGCGCGTGCTCGCCCTCCTCGCCCCACCCCTCAAGCACCGCCAGCTCCTTCGGAGGTCCGCTCAACTGAACCGTCCGCGTCACCTGCCCCTGAAAGCTCACGAGCAGCACCTGCCAGGTCCGCAAGCCCAGAGCGAAGGAGGAGCGACAACTAGTGAGCGAGACGATCTGAAGTATGCATGTCGCCTCTCTCGCGTACCGGTGAGGTAGCTCGGGACCCCCTCTCCCCATCACCCCACCGTTGGGTACTCGAAGCACCTGAAACCTACATCTCTTCTCCTCCTCCTCCTCCACAGTCCTCAACACAGCAACAGGACTGGCGAGGTTGCCATGGAGGCAGAAGCCTGCCAGCATGTCCGAGGCGCCTGCCCCTGACGTGTCGATCTCGCTCACGCACCATTTCACCGTCACCTCTCCCTTGCGCAAGACCTGCTGCGTATGGAAGACCACAAGGTGCGAGGGGCGATCCTGGAGGACAACAAGAGGTCCATCCAGTATGCAGGCTCGAGCCTGATGCCCGTGCATGGAGGGCGAGGAGAAGACCTCGTCGCTCTCTGCCGCATCCGAGACTCGCCGAAGAGAGTAGGAAACACTAGCCAGGGAGTCTCGCAGCTGCAACAAGAGAAGATAGGAAGAACTACTGCAAGAGGCATCGTACACAAACGTGAAAGCAAGGATCTCTGCCTCTTTGGTATTCAGATTTGTCGTGCTTCGACCCACCAGGCGCAAGTCCTTGTCTTTGCCATCGTGAGCGTACTGTCCTAAGAGAAAGCATGAGAGGACATATTGTTCCTCCCTCTCAGCACAAGCCTCCCTTCTGCCTCTTTCATCATCTCCTTACCTGTCTCCAACTCCGTCGTATCCTTCTTCAGCTTCGCTCGCATCACTCCTCCTCCTCCTCCTCCCCCCGCCCATCCCTCCTTCATGGAATCCCGACGCCTCCCCCGCCTCAGAGTCCCAGTCCACTGTACCACCCCTACCGCCACCCACCCCTACAAACGATATTAATAGAACCCCTTCCTTCCCTATTTCTTGGTACCCCCAATTTGTCCCTTCAAAGGACCGGTATGCAGTCCTTCCTGTCGCTCGCCGCAAGATGATGGAGGGGGAGGGGGAGGTGAGCGGGTTCATGCGGGTGTTCGACGGGAAGAGGGGGAGGAAGCAGCCGAAGAGGAAGTGTGTTGACTTCAACTCCTCCTCTCTCGCCCACCTGCACTCCCGCGTTCTCTTCCGCGACTACCGTGACCTGCAAGACATCCAGCCGTCTCTGGCCTACGACAAGAAGCTTCGCCCTGCCTACTCCTGCCATGAAAACCCTGCGAGCTGCGTGACCACGAAGCTGGCAGACACATCGGTGAACAAGAACAACGCCTACTCCCATAGATGCCCCGTATTCGCCATCGCGTGGACCCCCGAAGGTCGAGGGCTGGTAGCAGGGAACTCGCAAGGGGAGTTCACGTTATGGGACGGTTACGAGTTCAACTTCCTCACCATCTGGCAGGGGCACGATCAGTCTGTGCAGTCAATGACTTGGAGCCACAACGGAGAGTTCATGGTGTCAGCAGACAAGACGGGGCTGATCAAGTACTGGATGAACAACATGAACGAGGTCAAAAAGTTCCAGGGGCATAAGGACTCGATCCGATCGATCAGCTTCTCGCCCTCAGACCTCAAGTTCGTCACGGGAGGAGACGACTGCGTGCTCAAGATCTGGGACTTCGAGACGGGCACGGAGGAGCGGGCGATCACTGGGCACCACTGGGATGTCAAGTGCTGCCATTGGCACCCTTACAAGCCACTGATCCTCTCGGGAGGGAAGGACCACAAAGTGAAGCTCTGGGACGCGAGGAGCGGCAGCTGCCTGGACACCATCCATGCGCACAAGAACACGGTGAGAGCGTGCGAGTGGAGCTCCAACGGCAACTGGTTCTTCACGGGAGGCAGAGACCAGAAAGTGAAGCTGTACGACCTGCGCAGAACCAACGAAGCCGTGCTGACGTTCAACGGGCATAAGAACGAAGTCACTTCGCTTGCTGTCCATCCCTTCTATGAGACCCTCTTCGTCACGGGCGACTACAGGTACCTCCTCCTTCCTGTCCCTCTATCCCTTCCCCTCCTCCCATTCTCCTTCCATTTTCCTTCTCCCTCCCTCGACCTCCTCTGCTCATTCGTTTCTGGTCTTCTCAACTTTCCTGCAGTGGTTCCATCCTCTACTGGTCCACCAACAGCGACGAGCCCATCGCTGCCCGTCAGAGTGGAGAGCAGGGAGCGCATGAAGCATGCATCTGGTCCCTCGCCTGGCACCCTCTTGGTCACATCCTCTGCAGCGGCGCCAATGACCACACTTGCAAGGTGACTGAGTACCTCCTCCTCCTCCTTCTCCTCCACCACCACCACCACCACTTCCTCCTCCTTCACCTCCTCTTCCTCCTGACATCCACCACCACCATCACCACCACCTCCTCTTCCTCCTTCACCTCCTCTTCATTCACCTCCTCACCTCTTCCTCTACTCCTTCACCTCGTGCTCCTTTCACTCTCCACACTCTCCTCTTGTGACAGTTGCTGTAGTTCTGGTGTCGCAATCGTCCTGGTGAAGGTGTGCGCGAAGTTGCCGCAGTCAAGGAAGGGTCGAGCAGAGCTGACGACAGTCGCCTGCCTTCCCAGCTCACTCAGCCCAGCTCGAGCTGGAGGGACAGCGGCGAGTTCCCTGGAGGGAAAGGGAGCGGTCGAGGAGGAGAGCAGCAGAGGTCCGGGCAGGGGCAGCACGGCGGCAGCTATCTTCACTCCTCCAGGAACGATCGCGGCATGCCTCGAAGGGGGGACGATGGCGCGCCTGATGGCCCGGGGCGGATGGGCGGCGACAGACAAGGAATGGAGGTGAGAGGAGGAGGAGGAGGAGGAGGGGACGCGGGGGGGATGGAGGAGGCGAAGAGGGAGGGAATGAGAGGAGGAGGAGGAGGAGGAGGAGGAGGAGGAGGAGAAGGAGGAGGAAGCTGACGCAGAGACAGGGTGGGGACGGGAGTCGTCATGGTGGTGGGTGGGAGAACCGGTGGGGAGGAGAAAATCCATCCAAGTCCCAACGGAGATTCTGATAAGGGAGGAAGCAAGGCAAGGAGACGATTGCAGCAAATGTTGTGTTAGTAGGGGAATGAGGAGGAGGAGGGGGAGGAGGAGGAAGGGTCTCACAATACTTTACATCAACAGATGGGTTGAGAATAGTCTCCTCATCAATACAACATGTCAAACCTTCACCTACTCTTCCCTTGTCTTTCCACTTTGCTCTTCGTCGTCCTCCTCGTCCTCGCTTGACCTCTCACTTGACTGCTGCTGCTGCTCCTCCTCCTCCCCCTCCTCCCAGTTTTTTCTAAACTTTTCGCTTTGCTCCTCCTCCTT